TTAAAATGTGCAAGTTTCTTAATATTTTTGCAATGTTTGCAATAAGCTGACTGATTGATTTAATTTATAAATCTACATTTGTTTAGCACTCAGCAGAGACTTACAGATCATGGTTTATTTCAATGAATTTTGCGATTAGAAAATACTGTTACAACTTTTTATTTGGATTTTCGTACAGTTGATTCAGCTTTATAGTTCTGTAAAGGTATCCTTCTATCCTTTGTTTATTCATCTTCCATGTCTGCTATTAAATAGATTAAAAATTTTACTGTTTCTTTAACTTATTGCTTTGTCTAAACTTTAGCTATTAGTGCATGTCTTATTGTCTTATACTTTCAAGTCATTATCTAGAGGTATATCCTACAAATTGCTACAGATTGCCATTGTTGCATCACCAAATTATATTAATGTTTCTTTTATATTTGCACTCGATGTGTCACCAAGAGAAAGCTTTGCTGCATAATTTGATGACGTGATCTTTAGTGTTTTTAATTTCGACCATGTCATTAGCTTACAGGCTATTGGTATTAACAATCACATTGAGTATTTCTATACGAAGTTTATATAAATGAGTATCAGTAGTGAGTGTGAGTATCAGTATTCTGTTAATGATTTAACAAAAAGGAATGTGTAAGTAACGTATCATAAAAATTAATTCGATGTCAAACGCTTATTCAAGCAATTTACCTGCATTGTCCGTTCCTATAGCGAAAGCAAAATGGAATTTTGTAAACACAAGCATCTAGTTGTTAGCTTTCTTTCACACAATAGCAAGAAAACTTTCCGTCTCGATAACAATCAGAACAATTAAACAACAAACAGAATTGTCAGTCTGTCAGACATTTTTAATGGAACTTGAATGTTGAGAATTAACTTTGGCTTTGGCAAAAAAGTAATCAATCGTTTTACCAATTTCTTAACGGTTTGTGAACATGAGTTCCTCAGAACCACCAATCCTAAGTAGGTAATTATTTTTATTATTCTATTTGGCTTTTCGTCCGACCTTTGAGAAGCTCCCGTTAGATGTTCCGTTTCGTTTATGGCAATAGCTCACACATCTTCCACAGGTGTTAGGAAATTTAAATTAATAGATCAAGAAGCATATTTCTTTTATTTGATTGGTCTAAAAGTGTTTTGTGTTATTGTTGATGGCGATCGTTCGTTCGATTTGTAAGATTACCATTTGTTATGACTGCCCATTAGCTGCTCATAAATCTTCGAATGAATACAGAGATTTTCAAAAAATATTGTTGGTATCGTTGTTTAGGTCGATAAAATGTTTTGTAATGCTAAGATATTGTTATTTTATGATGGTATTGTTGAACTTATAGTTTAATGTTTGTGCGTCGACTATAAAACCTTGATTTACTTGTTCAAAATAATCAGCCTAAAAATGGGCAATTTTTTTAAATTTATTATTCTGCAAAGTAATAAGAACAAATATGCAATTGTAAGAGAAACAACAACCGCTCATTATCTTAAATATCACCTAGAGGCAAATGCTAAGCAAGTCAGAAGTAAAGGGCGTAAACACTTAGATACTAGACTCACTCAAGTAACTAGCATCCTCGCTATCAAGGGCGAGTGGGCTTGTCTAGGCGGGAACATGTTCCTTTCAACGACTTACTAGCGGCCCTTTCCGCCTGCAGTCGACCTTAGATTCATAATCTTGTTGATTATATCATTGTTATGATTGATTTCAAAAAATTTGGAAATTCTTATATTTTGGTCTAAATCTACATTTCCTAATTAATATTTTTGGATAGAATTGCTTTTGCTTAAAGATAAATTCTGATAAATCCTTTGAGAAATGTTTTCGACACTACAACTTTCTGTAGCGTTAGTATAATCCTAATATTGGTAAGCTGCTTGGTCCGTTATGAAATGTATAATAATAATTTAATAGTAGATTATTCCATTCCTAGTTAGACCAATGACAATATTCTAATCAACTTCTGGCTGACTGGTTAAATCGATAGTTGACATTCCATCGCAAATTGCCAACGCTAATATCTCAATATGCATGAGATTAGATAATCAGTTCTTAAGAAATTCTTATACGTACTAATGTTAAGTTCCATAAATTGTTGAGTTTTTAATCAAATCGTGGTCCCAATTTATGTTAAGACCTCCACCGACGATTGTCCCTTATAATACTAATACCTATATAACGTCAGATTATGAGGTCGTTCATCTTCATTTGGTAAAAGTAATTTAAAAGTAGGCGTAACAGTTCCCTAGGCCGATACGGTTGATGAATTTTCAATTTTAGTTAAAAACATATTTATATGGGAAAATTGGAAATTTGAGCCATCTATAACATTCCTATAAATTGACACTTCGTTAAAGTTGAAGATATTAGAATGTTTATGTCTATGCGCTATACATTCCGAGGTCGGCTCGCGCCACAGACTAATCATTTACAAATCGCTTTAAATCATATGGAACCGGTATACTCTTGTATTTTACTGTTTGAAATTTTATCTATGGTGTCGAGGTTCGAGATGTAGGTAACTGACCGAATTTATTGGTTTTGCTTGGGTTCGTGGCCTGTGACCGAAAGGAATAAATAAGTTTTTAAAAATAATTATTGAATAATCTATCTGATGACCTCGATTGACTCGGAGTTTTTATAGACAAATGAAGACTTCTAATAGGAGATTGATACCGCAAGTAATGTATGGGTGTGAAACGTTAGAAGCCATTTGTCTGTACAAGTTGATTGATTAGTTATTGATACAAAGCTGCCGACGTTACTTTGTCAACTCGGATTAGGGAATAAGTCAATGACTTGTTGAGTGTTGCTCATTTTTTTGGTGTATAATTATAAAGTATTAGAAAATTATGAATATTGGTTTAATGCATAATGCATCGGTAATCTGGAAAGTTTACGGCAAAGGCGGCAAAAGATGAGCAAGATTAAGGGCAATGGCTAAGTTGATTAATCAATCCTGATTTGTCCAAGACTAAGTAAAGGAACATTATAAATTAACAACACGACATAAACAGAAACAGATACTACCAAAACAAAACACAATGCAATACTACATACAAACGAAACACAAAAAGTAATCAGTAGCATCAACAGTGGCGAAAGGCCATCGATTAACTACATTATTTAACAAATCTATCTTACTTAACAAAGTACCTTGTCTACAGACAATGCCGATAACAAATGGCTATAGAAAATCCCTAAACACCATTGTATAAATCAAGCACCTGTTTATGCAAATGTTCGGAAGTTGGCTCCCATCATAAAAACAATAAAAACTAATAACAGGCAATCAGTCAGAGCCTACCGACAATCAACTACTTTGTCAAAAGCCCAAAGGCCCGAAAACTTCGATCACAAAGCTTAAGAAACCAATTTATGTAGACCTTACGTGACAAGTAAACTCCTGCGCAGTTTTGTTTGTACTGTGATTTTTTGTGTGTCAAGATGTGTTGGTTCTTCTGTAGTTTGGGCCATAGTTAACCCTGGTGACCTCCCATAGATTTGGTTGTGAAGACAATTCACACCCACGCAACGAGAATGCGTGAACATCTCAATCGATTAAGAGTCGATTGAGAGTGACTGATGGGGTACAATCGGTAGTATTTTGTAAACGATTTGACCCTTTGTTGACTTTTAAATAACATGGTTTAAACTTTTTGTCAAAGGTTACTTTACCATTTTATAAAAACCTATTTATTTGTTACATCAGTTTTTGTGTGTTTCCTTCTCTTTCACAATCACTCTTTGGTTACCTTTTTTATGGGATAACCCGGTAAACGAGCAGACGGATCACCTGATGGTAAGCAATGGGTGTCGCCCATGGATACCCGGAACACCAGAGGCGATACAAGTGGGTTACCGGCCTTTTGGGGATTAGGAATTTGAGCATTGAGGTGATTTAGTTTCTGAAGGGGGGTAATTGGGCCTTCCGTAAAGCCTTAAAAACCTATCTTTAGTGTCCTTTCTTTTAAGAGCTAAATAGAGGCTAAGTAGTTGAACTTCTTGGAAAGTTCCTTTATTATTAAATAAAATTAATTATAGGTTTCTTAAGTTCAGATAAAAAGCTGCCTCTATAGTAGGTATATTTCTCGTAGAGAATAGTATCCGTCTGAATTATTTCGTCAAATTATAAAGTCCCATAAGCATAGTCTCTCTTATTTAAAATGTAAACTGGTTATGTTACAAATTACAGGTTAATGTTAGGAATCTAGGCAGAAAAAATATTTTCGCATAAAAGAACGCAGTAGTTATCATAAATTATGGCCATATAGGGACTTATGGGTAATTTGTTTGATCATAAATCGGTGATTAGAACCGTTAGAACATAGACGAAAAATTCCTAGTTCAGATAAATTAATAAACGGCTGTTTTTTTTTTATATATATATATTGGAAATTCTATCTATTTGTCGGTTTTAACTACCTGCAAGATTTAATAGGCATAGCTTAAAATATGTTTCTACTTGGGTATATCAATCAATCTGAATAAATTTAATTTAGTTTCTAAAAATAACGTTCGGTAAAGGATTCTGAAAGCGATGGTTTCATGCGGAATGGAAAGTTGCTGCATACATATGCAGATATTTTGTAAAAGTAACAATTTATTTAAGCTAGAGATTAGTAAAAGTGGATTTTAGCGAAAACTGTAATTTCGGTGTCGTGTGACTGGTTTTATTTAATTTCCGAGTTCATATGAATAATTAATATTTCGATACTGTGCTTTCGAAAGCGTTTAAAATATTCGGTCGTGATATTTTCTCTCGAGTTCATTTATGTTTCTAACATTAATCATGGATGTTTTACTTTTATATTAATTTTAGCATAATGTTCAGATTATTATAATTATTTTAGAAGGTCGTTTAAAATATGCAGGTCGTATTAAATTTGTTTTGATTAAATATTTTTATTTATTTGTTACAGATGATGAAGAAAACAGCCGTTCAAGGAATGGGCCAGAGAACGACACAAATTAATCAAACAAACGCCATCTGTTGGCTAGGAACAAAATGACAAACAAAGCATATCTCAGGATTGGTACAATGTTTCGACGCAAGATGGCGCGAGTGCTACTACTAATGATGGCTGTCGTTACGGTGGCGGCGGGAGCTTCCACCTCTGACGAAGAGGTGGCGCTAGCAAATATCACCAGGTCCGCAAGTGGAGATTATTTCTCGCTGAAAGGTAAGTTTTACAAAATAGTTTATGAACTTTATAACACCATAATAATTATCTAAGTATAAATAAAAATTAATGTTCTACCTACCATTTTCAGGATCAGACTGTGGGCCCACGCGTTGCATGGAGGCTTCTCATGGAACTGCCCTCTCAGCAATCGGTGGTGCTGGTGACAGTGGCTGCCGCTGCCAATGTCGTCGGGACACTCCCGCTTTTCGGGAGGATCAGCACATATGCGTCAATCATATTGATGGTAAGGAATATTTTGATAAAGAACTAGACCAACATAAGTAGTTAGATGATGAATGGACCTCTACTAGGTACTGATACTATCTACAACAATTGATTAAATACAATGGTTGAGCATTACGGACTTTTTGGCTACTCAGGGCTCTAAGCCCCCGTAATAAAACATGTGTGGTTTTTTTAGTATTACTTTATTTTGGATGTTTAGTTTTCCACAGGGCTTTTTAGAAGGTACTTAACAAAAAAAAAACATTAATAGGTGCTGTAGAAATCCTATGACAAGACATTATTATCTCTTACGTAATTTAACGGTACAATAGACATAACTATCTGATCTAGGTCTAAGGCTAAAATAATTTAAGTGGAAATTATAGGATCCCGTAACGTACTTTGCATCGACAATGAAGATGGATGAAGGGTCATTGTGGATTGTACCTTGCATTTGTTTGAGAGGACAAAGGTCCTAATTTGTGACAGTTAGGCTCTGCAACATTGTGTTTCATTCATCATGTAGGTACAGTCATTGTATAGACATAAGTTATTTCAAACCGTCTTAAATAGAATAAAGGAGTTTTAACTTTATTCTTTGGTAATTATGTCTAAAATCTATTAGGTAAATATACTACTTTTCTCTTTTAATTTAAATTTAACATAAATTGTTTTTTTTTTCAGAATGTCTGATGGCAAGCTTCGGCCGTGGCGCGACGAAACCTCAAATCCCCTTCGTTTTTTTACCGCTGAAAGGACAAATCATTTACCCGTCGAAAGAAATTATTTTTACTGGTAAGTCTAAAAACTAAAATATTTACACCTTAAAATAAAAATAATAAAAAAATGTTACACTTGGCTTAAAAAAAATTGAATTTGTATTTTAAGTTTTAAGTATATTTTTATATTTTTCTGCTTTGTTAAAAATCAATACAAGTTTCTTTAAAATTAAATAAAAATTATATTAAAAAAGACCAAAAACACTGTTTCATATGATAGAAATTGTTAAAACTTGGAAAAAAGTAACAAAAAGATTTTCCGATACCGGGAATCGAACCCGAGCCTCCTGGGTGAGAGCCAGGTATCCTAGCCACTAGACCATATCGGATATGATAACATTGACGAAATTGTAAACTACAAACTACAATACAAACATAATTTATTTTTTATAGTATTAGGTATTTTTAGACAGATTAAATATGTACAATTTTATTGAAACGATAGTGTTGATTTTACAACACTTGATTAAAATTGGCAGTTATAATCGTATTATTTACATTTTTTATGAGTAGTTGAAATAAATTCAATTTTTATCGAATACCTACTTAATAAATACGTCAATATTACGTAGCGATATGCTTCTTTATCTTTTTTGATAGGTACCTAGAGCTGCTGTTATCTATCAAAATGATAAATTAATTCATATACAACTTTTGACGATTGTTGATCACTGAATTTGGTTTCGATTCTCAGTGTAGGCGAGATTGAATGACAATGTTGCGTGCATACAATCATCGATCTTACTTCTGGAAACCTATCTCTTTACTATATTAAATTACAACCAACTTTTTTGTCCAAACAGATGTAGAAGACGCAATATGCGCTGTGACAAGCGCTCAGTACCTGTCGCCCTCTGGATGGGTGACCCTTCGCGACCTAATCGACAACGACGTCCCCTTCGGTTTATACCGAGACGAGGGGAGCACTTTCCTACAGGTAATAATACATCTTTAACAGTAATTGACCTTCATCTAAAGCTTTATGGTAACAAAAATACTTCATTTAAGACTACACGATTGGCGCGATGGGTGGGTGACTGGTTGCCACGCAACGAACAACTCTTTGTGTGATTCACAGATTGTCGTTCCGGGTCTGGGTGAGATGCCACGACACAAGAGACATTCCTAGTGCGGGGCAATGTTCTTTTTTTAAATAATAACTAGCGGACCCGACAGACGTTGTCCTGCATATCCACTTGAGTGTATACCTAAACAAAAATTCATTCAAATTAGTTCAGCCGTTTAGGATAACTAACCTAGACACCGACTGCAGCGCCATCTGCCGGGCAGATTTGTGAATCTAAACCATTCCCAGATTCCTTGAACACACACAAAAAATTTCATCAAAATCGGTCCATTCGTTTGAGAGAAGTTCAGTGACATACACACTCACAGAAGAATTATATATAGGTCATAGGTATAAAGATTATTTATTTATTTCTTCTTCACAAAACATAACAGTGAATGGCGGACTTAATGCCATAAGGCATTCTCTTACAGTCAACCATAGGGAAGTGCAGAGAAATGAAGTGGTTGATGCGAAGCCAGAACACAATTAAAAAAAAATTGTTATGTAATATGTCCCTATACTACACACGTAAATTAATTGTAAAGTAAAATATTAATTGGGATTTAAAGAAAAAAACGCTAGAATTTGCTATTTTTTTTAAAACGAAGTCATTATTATGCAACCGGTGCGTTTGAAGATCTTTATCGTAAACAAGAACAATACGATGTCGAGCGGTTAGGTGTGACCACAGATACCTAATAAAGATTCAATGCAAGATATGCCAACGTACAGCTTGGCGGCAAAAAGAGTTTGACACAGTGACAGATGCAACTAATAATGACTTTGAATGTCTTGGACTGAATAAACAATTATCTGGAATAGTATCTCCTCTTATTGAACTTCATACTAATAACCACTAATAACAAACCCCACAGGTTTGCACAGATACGATACTAGCGTACTCAATTATACCAAAGTCTCTTTGGCAAAGCTGTATTTGAGGATGAATAATTTTAGCACTGCTTCGTTGGTCGAGTGGTCGCAAGTGCGACTGCCGGGGTTACGGATCTCGGGTTCAATTCCCGAGTCGAGCAAAGCATTACTAGATTTTAAAAAAAATGTCAGTAGAAGCACGGAGTCTGGAATTGTGCCCGGTATATGGCAATAGGCTCACCCCCTATTACATGGTACTCATAACATATTATATACTAGTGAAAAGTGAATGTTACATTTGTACAGTGGCATAATGGCATTAAGTGCCGTAATGTGCACCTCTGCCTTCTCGTTCGGGGATAAACGGCGTGATGTTATGTATTGTGTGTAATTTTAGGACACAATATGTTTATCGGTAGGTAGTTTGTGTGTTTCGCATAGTGTTACCACTGTGTCCTGGCCTATTCGAAATCTTTAGTTAACTAAACGAAATTATAGGTAAGTTTTATAAAATACTAGCTTTTACCCGCGGCTTCGCTCGCGTCATAAAAGGATAAAGAGTAGTCTATGTGACATATACCAATACACACAGCGCCATCTATACTAATACTTTTGTTTTCCCTCGGGAATATCACATTTTTCCGGGATAAAAGTACCCTATTATTTAATCCGGACTTCTAACTTTACGTCTGTAAAAATTCAAAGCAATTGATTTAGTAGTTAGGGCGTGAAAGCGGAACAAACAAACAAACAAACTCACTTTCAGATTTATAATATTATTATTATATATTATATTATTATATTATTATTATAAAGGTTTTATAGTCTTTTGTTAACCAAATGACAATTCAAAAATGGAACTAAATATATGTGTACCTACGGTCACTTTCAACATGGCAGATAGTCATACATATTTTTCTAGAAAAACGATCAAGATTTACATTTACATTAGACAACCTAGTCTACTTATGAACGTTTTGTGCTAAGTTTTTGGCTAGATTAAGCCACGTTAAATTGATGGATATCTTTATTTATTGTTACACTTTTAATTTCACCGGTGACAATGGAAAGTTGAATAGACTTTTAGTTTATCTTTACTAAAATAGGAAATGCGAAAGTGTGTTTTGTTTGTCCTTCTGTCATGTTGCAGTGGAGTATTATTATCGAAATGTTATTCTGTCTAGAATAGGAGACTGTATAGATGAATCTGTTTGTTAATTACTATTATTAAACATAGCAGCTACCGAGTGTAACTTTTTATTATTTTATCGAAACAATACTAGCAATCGATTATTTTGCAATATGTATAGCGTAATAAAGCGTACCTTATTATTCCCGAACAATCATTAATGAAAACTTATGACTAATTCTATTAAGTTGTTCTTAGTTCGTGCATTTTAATTAATTAAACATTTTGACATAATTATGCGACTCATTCACACGGGGGAGATATATAATTTTAATAATTTGTAGGTTATCATAATACACATCTGTAATATATATAACACCTCACAGGGACGCAGCTGATTGGCTGAGTAAACTGAATGTGATAATTTGTCTATGTTACAGAAAAGGTACGGTTTTAGGTTCGATTAAATTAATGAATAGATAACTTAACTTGTCAGCATCAGCATATCTTACTTGCCACTGTACAATGTAACACCCACTTTTCACTATTTATGTTATGACTCCCATGTAAAAGGGGGTAAGCCTATTGCCATATGTCGGACACGATTCTATACTGACATTTTTTTTAAAAAAACACCCAGTAGTACTTTGCCCGACCCAGGAATCGAACCCGAGATTCCTTGCCCGACAGTCGCACTTACGACCACTCGGCCAACGAGGCAGTCATGGACGGATAGTTATCGTATTTATCATAATTATCATAAACCATATTCACGCTAGCCACTGAATGTAAGCTTTTTAAAGCATCGTGCCACATCTTGCATTGAAGTGCATACCATTCCTAAAAATGGTAACTGTCAGTGTTGATAATAAAACACCTGTTTGTGCCTTATTTATGGACTTAACCAAAGCCTTTGACTATGTTGATCATGACATATTAAAACATAAACTCTATGCCTATGGGATTAGGGGTAATGCTCTAAGTCTTATAACGTCGTACCTAAGTAATAGGAAACAAGCCACTGTGATAACAAAATACGATTGGATTACAAAAAAAGAAGTTGAGTTTATCTCGGGCTATAGAGAATTGACGTACGGTGTACCCCAGGGAAGTGTCTTAGGGCCACTCTTATTTCTTTTATATATAAATGACTTTCCAAACGCTATGACTTTTCCAATGATTCTTTTCGCAGATGACAGCACCGCCGTATTTTCTAATAAAAAATATACATTACTTGAGGGTGAAGTAAATTCTGCACTAAATTCTATTGTCAATTGGCTTACATCTAATAATCTTTTAATAAATTTGGAAAAAACTAACCTAATGATATTCAGAAATACAGCTGTACCAGCTTCAGATTTACATATCAAATACTTAACAAAGACAATTAGTGAAGTTAAAGTAGCAAAGTTTTTGGGATTAATGGTCGATCACAATTTAAATTGGAAAGCACATGTAGAAAATGTGTGTGCCAGGTTGAATACGTTCTCATACATGCTATACATGCTTCGTAAAACTGTGGCTGTGCCAACCGCTGTGACTGCCTATCATGCTTACGTATCATCTACGTTAAGATATGGCATAATTTTTTGGGGCAACTCAACCGAATGTGAGGCCGCATTTAAGTGTCAAAAAAAGTGTATACGAGCAATATGCAAACTAAAGGTAACGGATAGTTGTCAGCCATACTTCCGGAAGCTGAAAATTTTAACTCTGCCATGTCTATATATTTTTGAAATTGCTGTTTTTGTTAAAAGTAATATGCAGATGTTTGATAAGCTTACTAGTACCAGATATAGAGGCAAAATTAGAAGTATTCCTAGTAAGTCTGCCTTAATGAGTAAGAGTGTTTTTTGCATGTTATCCAAGATATACAACAAACTGCCATGTTGTATTTCAGAAATTGGGAACCTCAACTTGTTTAAACTGAAATTAAAAGAATTTCTTAATAACAAAGTGTACTATACTGTAAAAGATTATCTTGAGGGGAATCCTTATGGTCAATAATTAATTTAATTTATTTGACATTGCTTGTGTGACATTCTATAATATAATTGGCAATTATTTTTTTACATTATATATTTAATCTGACATTAATTTTTTGACTTCAGTGGTATGAATAATTATAATCTCTGTGACATTACTGTATTCTAAATAATTCAATTCAATGGACCTAATTTTATTATGTAATTATTTTTAAAACATATCTTTGCATGCCAAGTTAAGGCAAAATATGGAGAAACTATAAACTTTGTTAACACCTATATATTATGTACCCATGTTTGCAAATGATTAAATGAATATGAATATGAATATGAATATGATGATAACATCTTTGTCCAGCTAAACTAAATTCATAATGCGGTTGTGCACACGTGTAAAGCTCATAAATGTTTATCTTTTACTGGATTATGGACCGGTCTTTTGATAGCCAAGGACGTATATAACACTTTAATGTTGGGCGAAGAAATAAGGTTGGTTTTTCCACGTTATTTTAAATGTGGTTGATGGGACTTTTTGGAAGTAGAGTGAAGTCAGCCGTCTCGTAGGTCGAGTATTTTGAAGTGTAATTGGAGTACTCGTTTGGGTTTTGTTGCCTGTATGGAATATTTTTTTATTATATTGATTTAAAACTCCATACCTACTGAGTAGGTAGTCTGAAATTATACAGTGGGTACAATTAGAGTGTACTGTCTTCATAGACAAATCTCTATATTCTATTCTAATGGATGCTTATCCATCATAATACACCTAACAGTTTTTTACATAAAAGAAAAAAAATACAAATATGAAGCAGAACGCTGACCACATAACTTCAAAAATTAGCAGGATCCGAATCCACATAACTTCAAAAGTCGGTGTGGTCCTTTTAATTGGTGCGAACGTACAAAGTAGCAATAACATAATTAATTTTGAGCTTACAGTTTTATTAAAAAGTCGTTTAAAAGTATAAAATACGGACTCATTATCCGATTCCAGATACGAACACAAATATTCGTTTTGATAAAATAAAAAAGGAAAACGTCAAGGTGACCATTTCATTTGGATATTAAGACCAATATTGTTCGCGACTAAGGCTTATTGGACCGATTTACCTGGTCTGGTGGACCACCATCAGGCAAAAGGGTGTAAATTGGATACAAGGTTGAATATTTAAATTATACTCCTATAATCCTTACACAGGCTGGATCTCCACCTCCAAAAAGTAGCCTTTAACACTCTGGAGATTATCAAAAGCTATTACTTTTTTGTTTTAAATTATAAAAAAATTAAAAAATGGCAAACATAACAACGACTACTGAGAAGAACAAAACAAAATACATGAACAATGACGTTTTATACTTAAACCAAATCGTACCTATTTAATATAAACGATTCAATTCCTAAAATCTTCAAATTGTAAAACAAACTAATAAAACTTTGAGTACCTATCTACATCTAAGGGTTCATTAAAACATTTATACGTATTCCTGAAATACAAGTAGCTGTTACTTGACTACAAAATGGCATCCCAAGTTATCTAGTGTCGCTTCATAGCAAAGATGTTAATCTTTAATGTTGAAGAACTATCCTTATACTAAGAATTGACAGAAACGTATTGCTTTTTTACCAGAACCAACATGAATCCTGACTGAACCGGTAACCATTATGATCTAGATGATGCATTCGAAGAAATGGTTCGTCTTGTGGAACCAAGAGCTAAAAGTGTTTAGTCAAGTGATAGTTCTGATCGTATAAATTTTCTATCCACTAAATTCTTCTTACAAAAGAAAAGTAACACGTCAAATGTAGCCCACCCTTTAGAATCTTTGTCAAAACAGTGTTTAAGATACCAGGTGATATGGAGTAAATAAAATTTAATACAAATGCTCACAGAGTAAAGATAAACAGAACTGGTTCACCGTTTAATCTAAAAAGGCACGAGCCAATCTTCATATGTAATTAAATCAATATTTTCATTACCTTTGCTGGTCGGAATTAACTTGTACGTACTTCGGAATCAAAGTAATCCAGTTCCAACGTTTAGTCGTTATTGCTTTGATGTCGATAACTGATGAAAAAGAAAGAAGAACATCGCGATTATCAGGAACAGAAGTCTTGATGTTGTTCAATCTGAAGTATAAGTGTCACCGTTAAGATTTTAATAGCACTATCAATCGAAAACGGTAATCATGTTACGGACAATTGTAACGTAATAAACGATTTTATTAATTTGTTTTATACAAATTCGTCATACAAATTGGGTCGACAACGGAACATATCATCATGAAGATGTTATGTCATGATCACAATTTTATGTATTTTTGGGCGGTCTCGACAAAACGCTACAGATTTGTTGGATCCATCAATCGAGCATGTGTCCAACTCAGACGAGCGCGTGTTGAAATGCAACACGGACTTGATGCAGCCCCTGATAAAGGCGAAGGCGTCAAAGGAGCAATTTGTATAATACGTCCAAATACTTCGCATTTAGATCTGTTAACATTGATAAAGTTATAAGATGGATTTGCATTTCCATTTTGCTCTCCCCAAGTAAACTTCGGGTAGACTCGACATTATGTTAACAAATGTACACACACGTTCTTGCCCGATTCATACTTTTTATTTCTTTAAGCTTTTTATTTATCAAGTGATTTGTAACCAAAAGTCACGTCTGCTTAGTGACAAATGCTGCAACGAATTGCACCTGATAACTGTTGATTTAATCTGCTTAAAGTTGCGGTCCGAAAAAATGAAGGTGCAAAGCTTAACGTAATTTTTACATCTTTTACATCTTTAGATCGCATTATAATATTTTGGAACAAGAATCCTGAAATGATTTTTGCAATTTATTTGACAGTGGCGCGGGTCAGCGACATTGCACGCGAGATTGGAGGGACGTTTGGTCGCCGCTCATGTTCTATGTTCCTCGTCCACTCCCTCACGGCTTGTTGCCAGCTGCGCAGCATTCCGCATAGCAGGTGCAACCCAAAACGCTTTACTCGGTGAGTCATATGTACCATTCTGAATTGATCATTTGATGATGTGTAAAATTAATGAAACTAATCGTCTAATACTTATGTGAATTCTGATGTGACTCATTCGCAGATGTACGTTCAATACCCTTCCACGCTGGCGAGCTAATTACATCGGAATCAACGTCGCAAAATCAGGGGCTCAGTGTTCTGGAGGCTTTAGCCATTGGGGTGTGCGTGCTGCTACTGATTTTCGTTTATGCAGCTGGAATTATTTTCTATGTTCATTACAAGCAGAGGCAAAAGCGCAAAGAAAAGGACCCGGAACAAAACCATGCAAATACTATGTCCACAGATAACGGGTCTATGGAATCACGCATCGATATGAGCAATGTGGTAAGAAAATGACACTTCTTTTCTTCAAAGTTTCAAAAGCTCCAATGTTTATGTGTTCCAAAGTATTTATCTTATGCCCGGTTTTCTTTTCGTAGATGTTGAAAACCAATCCCTTGTTAAAACTGAATGGTATGGGTGGTGATTTCCTGCATGACACGGGTTTTTCTGATGGCAGTGAACGTAACGAAGATACTCTTGACTCATCCTCTAATAACACACACACGCATAATTCTATGCACAAGGTTAGTATTGTGAACTAATTGTCTAGTACTAGATCCCCATAGTTATGGTTCATAGCCCATGGTTTTGAAAATCTAATATATCCATTTTAGTTCCAGAAATTAAATGCCAACTCAGTGATATCTGCAATGGTGCACTCAAGGAGGAAAAAGACTCTCAGGCCATCTATAAGAAATGCAAGTTCACCAGAGCCAATGAATGAACGTGTCCAAAGGCGATCAGCATCACCTGATACTCTAGAAAGAGCCCCACATTCTGAACTGTCAATTGTAGATTGTACAATGGAAAATAATAACTACAACGCAAACCGACAACTGCCACCTTCAAATGGGGATTCTTCGTATAGAAAGAAATTGTATTTCAATCCAGTCTTTTTCGAAACCGAACTTCTGAAGGTAAGATTATTTTTGCATCAATCATAATCACCATGAATATTTAAAAAATAAAACATAATATTGCCTTTGTTTCAGAATCCACCACCAGCTGCAATAGAATTCTTGATTAAAATTCGAGAAGTTATGTCAGTCGCTAAAGAAAAGATGACATCGAAACGATTCATCCCAATACTATCTGATATACCGGAGGAAGATATGTACCATGCTGTAGATCTAGGATGGGACATACCCTGCGCACGACGTGGTCGTAGATTTAGTGCAATAAGCCTTAAACAAGAGAACAGTCGCAAGACTGCCGTCTGTGGAGGATGTCCAGGCTGCGATAGTAAAGCAAAACCACATAAGGTAGCTCTTACGAGATCTAACTCTTGCAAGTCATGTGTAAGTGAAGATTATAAACAAAGAATAGTTAGAAAATGGCTTGATGAAGTGCCGTTGCCTACCAATAATGCTAAACCAATGAAATCTGTGGCAAAGGTTAATGGAACTCCAAGAGTTATAGAGCCTCCAAAGAAAGAAGAGCCGCGTCCTAAATCTGATGGAACAGTTAAAAATGAGACAACGAAACCGAAGATCACTGAAACAAAGCTTAAAGCAGAAAAGAAATCCAAGATTATTGAAACCAAACCCAAAGTTTCGGAAAGTAAACCTAAGACTACGGACACTAAACCAAAAGTCACTGAAATAATAGCTAAAGAGAATATGCGGGACATTGATTCTAAAGAAAACTTTACTAAAGAACTTAACTTACAAGAAATGAAAATAATCAGTAAACCAATTAATCCAAAAGAAATTGAGATCATCAGAGTAACTACAGTTCCAGACCTCAATGGGTTGAACAACCTTGTAAATATCAATGAAGCTGACAAAATACCAAAACCTGCTACTCCAACTCCTCCCCAAGAAAAGAAGAGTCCGTCAAGTCACACATCTCGACGAATTAGAAAGAAACTTCCACCACCACCACCTCCCCCCGCCGTTCCGCCAGAACTTCCTAAAGGAGATGATGAAGAGGCACCAATACCACCCGAAGTCAAAGTAAAGATGGAAGCAGTTATACGTGAGCTGAATACTTGCAGACGTGTAGAGCCAATAGAGATAGAAGAAATGAAACTGGAAACTATCGCTCCAATTGCACCTAAAATAGTTATACCCGTAATAGCAGCCGATAACCACTACTACAGTGATGACAATACGCTCTCCACAAGAAAGAAAAAGCAAATTTATGGCAGTCAAGATAACTTTATGGAGTTTGATAGTTTGGAGCGTAACATGCTTAAGAGGCGCAGATTCTCAGTCGCTTGTGGACCAGAGTTATTCCATAATGATAGATTTGAACATGGTCACAATTTGTTAGACACTAGAGAACGGCTAACAAGTAGCTGGCTAGACGTTAAGAAGACTGAAAATCCTCCAGTTGTAAATCAAATCATAACAACGAACGAAGTATTTATTCAAAGCATGGAACCTACGTATAATAATCTTGATGATCTATCAAAGCCTGGTCCATTAACCATACAAGTCCGCGGTTCTCCGATAGAAAGTCGGCGCAATTATAACAAAGATGATTTTGATCCGGACACTCTTGACAGGCGTGATACAAAGAAACGTGTAGAGAAAATACTGCTGAAGTCAGCCGGCAGCTTCAAGTACAAGTCGACGTCATCAGAGAGTGAATCATGCAGGAAATCACCAATAGCTATCACGACTCGAAAGATTGGCAATCTGAGACAAATATACGAAGCTAAGGCAAAGGCACAAGAAGAAGAAATGAAGTTCTATAGCAGACGTGGAAGCGTTACATATGGTCAAGATCTGTCCGCATTTATTAGATCTGGTAAGACTCCAGATCTGATCAGACACATTGAGGGACAAAAGGATCCTAAACCTCCGATACCACCAAAACAACGCCGAGGTTCTGAGTTCTACAGTTCTACCCGAGAAAGTCCACCTGGAGATCGCCGTAGAATGTTAGAAGACAGGGACAAATTCTCCCAATACACCAGACTTGATAATTTGAACGCTCGACGATCCGGACGTCGATCTGCCAGGACTAGATCACGAAGAACTGATATTAGAAAACTATACAGAACCGAAGACTCTGGATACATGAGTACAGACTCAAATGAATCGAAATGTAGAGCGCGTTACTTGATGCAATTGAGACCCGTGAAGACCATTGTGCCAGATCCTATTCCAGTTCCAGCCACTCGAACTACTGTTGTGAAAACATCTGTTCTGCAAATAGAATCCGACACTGATGATTTGGAATCGCTATGTGATGGAAGAAGTGAATCAGGTGGTGAGAGTGTCGAAACGGATTCAGTCTTCTTTGGCAATTTCGATGATTCGAAAGAGATGTTTGCTGAATTGGGTCTGAGTGCTTTTGAGCCTCAAAATAAGATGATGCAGAGTCACGAACAGATTGATTCAGGGTTTATGGGAGAGACCAATATAATTTTAAGTGGAGACAGCGATTCAGAGCATAGGAGTGTGATATCTATTATGACTGGGCACGATGGCAGAGCTTCAGCTGCCTCAATTAGCAAATTAGACGAAGCACCTTATATGCATACCATAGAGTGTTGAACAAATGTAATAATATAATTATTTGTAAATGAGATTGTACATAAACATTTCCAATTAAATACAATAATATGGAAATTTATAACTTGTAATTAGGTTTAAAATCGAGTAATAAATGCATGCCTTGATTGAATTTAGTAGAAAATATTTAGAATTTGTATAATGTAATGATTGTTATGTAAAATTTTGAATCAATTGTGAATATTGTTAGAATGTTTGTTTGTATTTAAGTAAGTTGATAGTCACCGAATTTTACCTCAAAACTAAAACGGTGGTGGCGTGCGATTGTTTTCTGTGTAAATTCTATCTACTTTTGTCTTACTTTTTTATCTTAAGATTAATTTATTGAGACCGTTCATTAGATGAACAGCCCACCATTAATGTTCGTGCCTAAATGTAAAATTAATTTATCTGTTTGTTAATTGTTATAATATTCTTTCGATTTAATTAATTGTTATCTTCATAATATGCCATTTTATGCTCAATTTATGTTTAATCATCGTTTTTAGTTTTAATGTATATAAATAAAGTAATTAGTAGGTATAATGTGTTACGAGTTTGTAAATTTTATAGCCGGCCGGTTGTGCAATTAAATTTTTATTAGTTTTTCGAGAAATAAATGGATTGGAGTATTTTTATGGTGTATGGTATACGTAAGAGGCTCAATTATTTATTGAAAAATTTATATGTAAGTGAGATAATTATTGTTTAAACAAAATATTTGCAATATAAATGTACTTAATCCTTAATTTAGTCAGTAGTGTTTGTAAGAGGGACTGTGTTTTGTAAAGATAATATTTTCAGACTTTGTAAATAAAGTCGTTATAGAAAATATTTTTGTATGTGTAAAATATAAGTAAATATGTTGTGTTATAATTCATGTTGTTTTATTGAAAATCCTTAAGAAACCCTACATAACATTTACGAACCAGTTAATTCATATCAAATGTTCAAAACCTAACCGAATAAAAATCTATAACACATAACATAAGACTGTCTCGTTGGCCGAGTGGTCGCAAGTGCGACTGCCGAGCAAGGGGTCTCGGGTTCGATTCCCGGATCGGGCAAAATATTACTGGGTTTTTAAAACATTCTCAGTAGTAGCACGGAGTCTGGAATTGTGCCCGGTATATAGCAATAGGCTCACCCCCTATTACATGGGACTCATAAACATAACATAAACAGTGAAAAGTGGGTGTTACATTGTACAGTGTATGTTATGTTGTAACATAATAAAAAAGTAAACAAAAAAAAACAATCAATATAATGTTAAAACCTTTTTTATTTTGTAATCGAATACATTCAAATTGAATCTTTTTTTCTGGTACTAAATTTAAATTTGACGCGCCAAACGGCCAGTACTTTTAAATTATCACTGCTATCTGTTAACCGTCAACGCAGGCATCGATTTTACTTAATTCGAATTGATGTAAACTTTACATTGTACGCATCTTAAATCACGATCTATCAAGGGAATTGTATCTTTGATCGCACCGAATTAATTTACTTTGTGTCTGCCTTTCTGATGCGAACATTCTATCAAATCATTCAAATTTCTTGGTAGATTTCAATTATTTAAACATTTTTAAAAATGACATTTGTATGTTACATAACACGTATTGCTCTCTAGATCAAATATGATTGAGGTGCAAAGTTAATGGAACGCTTGTTTTTCATAGTAAATATCATGAAAGAGGAGGGAGCCTATTGCCGATACAATACAAGCTACTAAGAAACGTTCAGCAAAGCAAACAGATACCTTTAGGACGTCTACCTGCGGAATACAATGAATGACAAAAAATAGCGTGAACCCAAATCAGGTGGCATACTCTTGAATCCAATTCCGATCGATCGACATTAGTATTGTAAAATTTCGTACTCTTGAGTTGCAACACTAGCGCCCATTGTATCCGTATTACGTAGATATTGAATGAACTAAATGGTACAGATTTTGACTATACATTCCGTACTCCAAATGCTATTTTAACAGCTACGATAGGGGTCGTATAGTGTTGACATTGAATAATTATTGAGATTTTGTTCGATTGAAATTGCATTGACATTGGGATTGATTTCAAGAGTAAGCACCCAGGCCAAGCATTATAGGCCATTTAAAATTTTGATAAACTTACTCTAATACAGACACAGATTACACGGTTGGTGCAGTGGCTAGGTAAACGGCTGCCACGCTACGTGTAGCGGGTTCGATTCCCGTATAGGGCAACTGGTTGTGTGATCCGTAAATTGTAGTTTCGGGTGTGATTGTTTTGTGTATATAAACTTGTATGTTTTAACCACGTAACAGGAGAAAATCTTATTGTGGGGCAACGTTTTCCTTAATTAATAATACTAACGCATATATTGGACATAATTCTAAACCGCATTCTATTCTATTTATTCTGAGAATTCATGAAACGCTAAAAATACCTAATATCTACACCCATAGATCCCCAAGCGGTCACCGGTGACCGCTCTCCACTACCTACATTATAGACCTTATTTCCAATGCTTAGAGACTACTTTTGTATGAACAAATTTAGGGGATGAATTTCAGCGGGTGTACTTAGTAAGTTTTTTACTCGGCAGTTGCAATCAATAGACCAACTAAGCAAAGAGACTTTGTCAATAAACTCAAACTACCTTGTTCCCTCTTTTTTATGGCATAAGCCAGTAAACGAGCAGACGGATCACCTGATGGTAAGCAATCGGCGTCGCCCGACACCCGAAACACTAGAGGCATAAGTGCGTTACCGGCCTTTTGGTATTTGGAATTAGAGGATTATAGGGAATTCAGGGATTGGGGGGTAATTGGGCCTCCGGTAACCTCAATCACACGACGAAACTCAACATAAGGGTTGTTTCACGTTAGTTATCTGTGAGGCCGTGGTATCACTCCGGTCAAGCCGGCCCATTCGTGCCGAAGCATGGCTCTCCCACATTAAAAATCTTGAAGAGAAAGATACAGGTAATACTTGAATTGTAGATAGTACTCAACATAAAGTGTTCAATCACCAATACACTCAGAAAATAAATTGATAATACATAAGACTATACGATTACATAAGATGAACGGATATCAGTAGATAAATATTGTTTGAGTATGTATTATCTCTAAACCGAGTGGACAGCTATTTCGAGACGACGTCCATCGGCCCATTAGCTCAGTTGGTTAGAGCGTCGTGCTAATAACGCGAAGGTCGCGGGTTCGATCCCCTCATGGGCCACTTTCTTCTTTTTGGATACATATTATTTTTGGGATTTTATGCAATATTGTTACTGATTTGTCTTTACATATGAATTATATAATTCAAAAGGTTGTTGAGTGACGTTTCATGGTTGCAGCCAGATATTTTCATTTATCAGTTTCTGTAGCTTTTCATAAACGCCACGTTATTTAATTATTTTTATGGCATGTAAACGAGCATACGGATCACCTGATGGTAAGCAATCGGCGTCGCCCATGGACACCTGGAACACCAGAAGCAATACAAGTGCATTACCGGTCTTTTGGGGATTAAGAGTTTGAGGATTGTTGGGGATTCGGGAATTGGGGAGATTTTGGAAGGGGGGATGGAGCAGGGCCTCCGGTAACCTCAATCACACGACTAAACACCACAGAAGGGTTGGTTCATGTCGGTTTTCTGTAAGGCCGTGGTATCACTACGGTCGAGCCGGCCCATTCGTGCAGAAACATGACTCTCCCACACTTATTACAAAAATTATTGCTTATCTATGAACCCATTATTCGTCCAAACACGACATATGCTTAAGGTTCTTATATCTTGTGAACGGACCAAATATAAATTGTTTTTAAAATTTAAATTAATATTTTTATTTTCGTTTTTCCATTTCGACCTTCTAACATTCCCTCAGGCTAATGTTACATGGGTTGAGATGCCTCTTTAGCACATCATTATAGCAGAGATATTAAATTAAAACTAACTTGAAAGTAAATTCGACAATTATTCAGGGTCGCCGTTACCGAAATCGGTAAGGAGGACTATATAATTATATAAATACTTCTATGTTAAAGACAACACATGGAAGAAAATCAACTACAATATTTGCAAACATCTTTTATTTCGATCAGTAATACGTGTGAACAAAGTATTGTGCACCTGCCGCGTATCATAAAATAAACTCCCATCTTTGATATTAATATAAAGGTGTCAAAAGTTTTATTCTTGGGTAATATTAAAAATCTTTTCAAAACCATTAAAAAGAATGAGACTGTAACATAAAAATGAAGTGCCAAAAAGATGAGAGTGGCCCATGAGGGGATCGAACCCGCGACCTTCGCGTTATTAGCACGACGCTCTAACCAACTGAGCTAATGGGCCGATGTTAAACTATGTTAAAATACTAGACATCTAGAACTTTCTGCTTTTCTCAAAAAGGAGGGCCTTGGGCCCTTGGTAAACAGGTTTGAGATCCCTATTTTTTATACATTTGATGGGCCGATGTTTGACCACTATCTCGTCTTGTGGTAAGCGATGAAGCGGCCTAAGATGGAGCACGTCTGCCCATAAGCAACCTAGTCACTCGGGCCTTGAAGACACCCAGGTTATACCCTTCAGGAAACAGACTCTGGCAAAGAATTCCACTCCATAGCAGTACGTACTATCCTGTTTGTAAGGTTTAGGATTATTAGAGAACATGGCTGTAAGCTGGTGCCTGGTCTCTGTCAAATATGCAGGCTTTGCGGTCTCCTAGTCGACTGTTACAATATCCGTTGCAAGAGTAATCCTTACTATATAATATTATAAATCGGAAAGTGAGTTTGTTTGTTTGTTCCGCTTTCACGCCGTAACTACTAAACCGATTGCTTTGAATTTTTGCAGACGTGAAGTTAGAAGTCTGGATTAAATAATGGGGTACTTTTTATCACGGAAAAATTTGATATTCTCGAGGGAAAACGAAATTATTGGTATAGATGGCGCTGTGTGTATTGGTATATGCCACATAGGCTTTTTATCCTTTTGTGACGCGAGCGAATGCGCGGG